TTTTAACGAAGTAATTGAGTCGTCCAAATTTGTAGACGAATATGCTCGAGGAGTTTTAATTAATGTTCCTGCACATCCACGACAAGTAAATACACACATTCGATAATTCTTTTTTGATGCATAATAACAAAAACGTTCAACATACGATTCTCTTGAACCACCAGCAAGACCATGATAAACTAATATAATTGGTGCATCTTCTGGTAAGTCTGGTTCGTCTAACCAATCTAAAGCAAAATAACCACCATCTGAACTATCAACAATTTGTCTGTTAAATTTCAATGGAACACTAAAACGAATTCCAACATATAACATTTGCTGAACACCTGAACCTATTGACACTGGAAGTTGGAATGGATGAAGAGTAATCTTTTCAGATAGTATTTTGCATAAAGAAGAAGGAGATGAGATGAATGAAGGTTGGTCTTCTTTTAAATTTGGTAGATGAATCAGAAATAAAAATATAGTCAGTGACAATACCATCATTGGGAGATGTAAAGTAAATAGAGAAAAGAAAAGTGTTAGCATTAATATTATTTGTGTATTTTTTAGAGGGTCTTGTTTAAAGAAACTAAAGAATTCTTGGATCGTTAAAAGAATGGATAGAATAAGGGGTTGTATTAACAAGACAAAATTCATTAATTTATTTTTTTTTTTTAAGTTCAATAATCTTTTTTTCTTTAACTTTATTTTCATTTCATTTATTTCAATTTTCTTTTATCAAAAATGTATTAGGTATTTTGAGATAAAAAAGATAAAATTTAATAGAACAAAAGAAATATGAGAGAAAGTTCATAAATGTCATAGAACCATTGAGTCAATAAAATGAATAATAAAGATTAAATTATTTATTGAATTCAAAAACATATAAGAATTTTTCCTGAAACAAGTTTTCTTAACTGTTTAATTCTAATTTATTATATTTATATGCAAGAGCCATGTCAAAATCCAGTTTCTCAAACAAAAGAAGATTTTTTAAAAAAATCACTAGGCCAATCTGGTTTAAGAGTTAAACCAACAATTATTCCAACAAAAGATGGAAGTATTTCTGGGTTTATTGTTATCACTAAAGAAAAGACTTTTCTTATTGTTGTAGAATCAACAATTATTCAAATTGTATTTTGTTGTTATAATTACAAAGGAATAATTGCTGATGCTATTGTATCTCCAAACTTACCACTTAGAATGTATTGTATGAATAACCAAGGTCGAGTATTATATTGTATTGGAATGAAAGACTCTTGGGAAGAAATGGATGAGTGTGATATTAAAGGTAAGTGCTATGCTTATTCTATTATTTCAAATGTTGGAGAACCTATGAAATGTTTTAAAATAACCCAACGATATTTGTTATTAGTTTGTTTTTATTTAATAAACATCATTTAATAAAAAGTTAGTTATTCATTAACAGGGATTTGAAAGAGGGATTAGAATTTATAAATTTGTGAACGAAATTAAGCATAAACTTAATCACATTATAGACGTTGAATGTACTATCCCTTCTTTTGAAAGTATAGCATTGAGTAATAGATATGTTATTGTTACTACTAATGATAAACCAGAAAAAGAAGATGAAGTTAGTTCTGGAGCAATATCATGGATTATGAAATACCCAGGAGGATATATTAAAATAATAGATTTAATTACCCAAAAACAAATTGGGCATTTTGTTGGTTCCACTTATTCTCCTGTCCAATGTATTTCATTTAATGGTAATAGTAGTTTATTCGCTATTGCAGATCAGTCTGGAAAATCAATTAGAGTTTATCGTATTAATGAAGTTGAGTCTGTTAAGAAACAAATTGAATTACTGTATGTATTTAATCGGGGAAATTCACAAACCATAATTAAACAATTAAGTTTCTCTTATGACTCTACAATTCTAATAGTACTTTCAAGTAATTCATTACGTTTTATTCCAATAAATCCAAAACATCAAGGTTTATATGAATCAATTAAAGATGGAAAAGAAAGTCTTCTTATTAAACCATCTTCTAAAATTCAATGTGTTACTGAAATGAATGGGACTTGTGATAGTAAATACAATTTTATTGTTTGTACTGAAGATGGAACAACTGCTATTATTCGATTTGAAAAGAAAAATAATATATTGGAATGGACAGATGAAAGTTTATTGACTTTTGATCTTCTCAGTTTAATAAATTCATTTAAAAGCAAAGACAACCTTTTTGTTAACCCTCTTACTCCATCTCTCAAGGAACGTGAATCTTTATTAAAGTGGTTTATTTCTAATTGAGCGTTCTTATTTCTTTTCATATTTTAAAAATTAAAATAAACAAACTCTTTTTTCAATTCAGAATATGCATCATATTTTGTTGTAATGACTATTGAGTAATGTAATAGAACCTTGTAAGGAAAATCAAACAAGAAACAGGTATTCATGTTCAAAGAAAAGAAAGAATGAAATAGCAATAAAATTCATAATAATAATGATAAAAGAAATAACAAGAGAAAAGTGAATAGAAAAAGAAGAATACAATAAAAACAAATAAGAAAGAAAGTAAATATAATGATAATAAACATTATACAAATAACAAATCTAAATTATTAATAACAAATGAAATTAAAATGAAAAATAAAAGAATAAGAAGGAAAATGAGAATGAGGATAATCAGAAATACTTAAAAAATAAGAAGATAAAGAAATTGTATAATATTCTCCAAGAAGTATATTCAATAATAAATAATAAAATAATAAAGAAAAACAAAGA